CGTTGGAAAAAACAGCGTACCGATCAATGAACCGTTGAAACTTCGTTGCGAAATATTTCAAGTATCCAGAAATTAACGTAAACGTGTTCCCTTACATTGAAGCCCGCGTTATCCGATCTCCAATAATTTAGTTAGAGAATAATCGCGTTCGCTTTAAGTACTCGTCGCATTTCGGGAAATAGCAACGTCACATGAAATTAGTTACGCGAACTGATGAGAGTTCGATAATGGTTTGTAAGAAACAATTTCGGGATGGAATAATCGCGTTTGCTTTAAGTACTCGTCGCATTTCGGGAAATAGTAACGTCACGTGAACTTAGTTACGCGGACTGATGAGAGTTCGTTAATGGTTTGTAAGAAACAATTGATGCAAAAACGATATACGGGGGCGGCTCGCGGCACTACCTGTCTGTACGAGAGCTACTGCGCGAATGATAACACGATGTCTCGACGTCGCGGCAACGGTCGGATTGACCTTGCGTACATCACGTGCGTGGCACGTTGGACAAAACATACCGAGTGTATGCCGATCAATTAACCGTAGAAACTTCGTTGCGAAATATCGAAAGTATTATAAAAGAAATTTACTAATACGGCAAATACGTTCCTTTTTGCAAGCCGATTTAATAAACGTTTCACTACCCCATTATCTTATGCGCCGTTGGAATTTGAAAACAAGTACATGCAGTTCGAAATGCACTCATAGATTCTATCGTAGATTTCACCTGATTCTGTCGTAAGGAATTGAATTTTTGGAAAACAACTCGACTTCTAAGAATGAAGTTGCTGGTTTCAAAAGTGTATAAATGTGTAAAGATTTGAGCAACTTGTACTCTACATGCTTAATCGTATTTCAACGACTAATAGTGTTTAATATTTGAAATTGTCAAAAAATAATATAATAAAATAATTATCGCCTTATATTATATTACAAATTTCTTATAAAGTACGCATAAAAGATTCCAACGTATTTAATCAGATTTCGAATCCACTCGGAAGTAATGTATGCTTCATGATATTGGAAGTAATATATTTTTCACGACACTCGTAAAAGGTATCCTTCGAGCCGTTTGTCCAGGTTCAAGTCTGTTTGAAAGCACTGCTTTTGGTTTTTCACGTCACAGAGAGTTTGAAACTATGCCAACAGATTCGAACCTACTTGTAAAATACTTGTTAATCCTATCGCTTATATAAAATGATAACACAATGACTCGCGCCGGTATTCATAATCCGTTCTGTCCTACATTTAAAACCATCTTAAGCACAGTCTTAAGATGTTATAAACCAATCACAGAGCCGTATTAACATCTTAAGACATTACTTAAGATGGTCTTGAAATAAGAACGGATTATGAGTACCGGCCTCAGGTGCCCGCGGCAGGTTGGTTCTATGTCACAAAATACGACGCGCACCGAGTGCTTTATGTCAGTTTAGCTCGTCGTCGTTGCAAAATATTTAAAATATTCTAAAAATGTTTACCGAATCGTGTTCGTTGTATCTCCAGTTAGTTCCACTATCAACTATTGAAAATTACGAAGATTAATTTTCTTTCTACGAGGAATACTTTCTTATAATTTATATACGCTCAACTTTCCTTCGATACCACGGAATATTACGCGAGTCAATTTAATGGCGAATTAAGATCCAATAAATAACCCGCAAATATAGAATTAAAATTCAATATTGCGCAATTTACCTTAAATTCATGAATGTGAAATACATATATGTATTGTCGATAGCCAATGTATCAGCTTTCTCTATAGGTTATCCGAATCAATGATTCATCTTATTTTGTGTTTTGTAATTCAGGAGGTACGTCTGTCGGTACGTCGCATTACATGTCTCGGTTAAAAATGTAATGCAACAGACATTCAATGCAAATATCAATTATCACGAATTTCAGTGAACGAATAATCTCTAACTCCGATTTTTATTTATAATTTTAACTTCTATTTTCAAAAACAAATCGTGCAAAATACTTTCCAAATAATACAAATTTAATTAAAACTAGCAACCCGATAAAATTTTATATAAAACAAGTTTTAAATATTGATATGCTTTAATAACCTTTTATATGCATTAATAATTAATTTTTACGTCATGGAATTAAAAACTCGAATTTTAGTGTACATATAAATTCCAAAATCATGTTTGCGTTTATATCGCACGCTACGATTTTGTTCTATCCATTGTGAAGAAATCAATTTCCCTAAATATTATAAAAATTATTGGAAAGTTACTTCAACAACGTATTTCAGATAATAAATAACAACGTGTTTTACATAATAAATAATTCTTGGATATACATTTTGAATTTTTATATATGCAGCTCGGGCGCATACACTCGCTCGCGTATTACAGATGTAAAATATGTATCTCTTAAAAGTTTTATAGCTTTTATATGATGTACAATGTAACAAAAGAATGGCTCAATGTCGCCTTAGTCCTGATGGAAAGAGAGTATCCGATATTACATGCACATGTAACATACATTCGCAAATACACACACACACACGTACACTTTCTCTTTGCCAAGAAATTCATAAGAATAAGGTATAACTTAGCGGAAAGCGCGCAGCGTCGCAAACAGTCTCGTCTAATATATGCGCGACGCGTCTTCGCTCGTTGCTCGGATAACTTTCTTCGTCGAGGTTTTAAGCGGTCGGACGGTCAACTTTATACGTCCGCGCTGGCGAATTATGGAAATCCTTCCTGAAAAAGTTCAAAGTGCGGCGAGACCACGCTAACGTGTCAAAAGGTGCAAGTCGTTGTTAAAGTTCGTCAAAACTTTTCAGAAAAAGCATTAATGTTTGTCCTGGCGCTATCGCGTTATCATTTTATCACGCGATTACATATTTGCGATTTAATAGCGGAGATCAGCGCCGGAAGTACTTAATATAAGTTATAAGCGCTTCCTAATTACGTAAGGAATTAATCCGCTTGCTAACAGAGAGCCATAAATCAGTAATTTACTTTTGGGACTCGAGTTGAATTTTTTTCCCCTATTAGCTGTCGGATGTAAAAATTATTAAAAGGAAACTCATATTTTTCTTCAAATGTATTGTTTTTACAGTAACAATTTTCACTAATTACTTTTTAACCGTAAAATTGTCTTTCTTTGCCTGTTGTTTCATTATGAGAATGAGACAGTTTGATCGTTGTTAAATAATATCACGCAGGTATTTTTGAACGCTGCAAACGCGAGATAATAGAAAAATGGGATTACGGGGGTCCATGTATTCCTTCGACGCAACGTTTCTCGCGATTTGATTTACTCACGGCGGCAATAATTTGCCGCTCGCAGGTGGCTGCAGTAAATTTCGCGAATTCATGTTCAAGTCGAAGGTTCCCTTGCGCTGTTCGACGCGCGAAAGTCGTAATAATCCGACTGCGGAATAGGGCGAGCCGCGCGTGCTGTATTGCTCGCAAAACGCTCGGCGTCGCGCCGGAGATGCGGAAACCGGGAACACGTCCGAGGACTACGGACCCTAGACGCGTAAAGCGTGTCCCGCGTGCGAACAAACGATCGTAAAACGCCGCTCTGGATCATTGGCCGATGATTGCAGGCGAACCGACTTGAAATTTCCTTCGTGAACGCCATCGACACGTCGCGTAAAATTCGCGCGTGCTTCATTAACCCGCAACAATTTAGTTTAGCTTCCGAGAGAAGATTGTCGATTCGTTGGCCCTCGTTTCGTTAGTTCCTCATTAATCAACACTAATCAGGAATTGCAAAATCTTTTATGATAAAGTAAACCAAATAGCCAGTTGGGTTGACTATAAGTTTCCCTTCTCAATTTTTAATCATTACTGGTGACAATAAGCAAACTCTCCTTTCGTAAACCAGATAGAGTCTACTCTTTAATTGCATATCTATATCTCGGGAAAATAGTTTTTATAAATAATTATGTATAAAATATGTCAGCACACATGTTTTCTCTCTCTTGTTTAAACTCTATATTTGTTTGTATATATAAGAAAAATTAACAAGTAGTATAGGTAGACATTGTACATATTTTATTTTGTGCCGTTAATTATATAATTATGACACAACTTTGTTATAATTTTTTACCGTTCAGTTACATATTGCAATAACTCGATTAATTTTTAAGGTAAGTGACTAAGATTTAATTTCAATATGTTATTTACGTATCCACTTGACAAACCATATCTTTTGTACACGTGATATTCGATTGCGTCTTATTTTACACATTACTTTTGTACAATTAGTTTTAAATGTTATTATTTTTTTATTGTTAATTTATTAAACAAGTGCCACTTAAGGTCGACTAAACTGATCCATAATTAAGAAGTGATTAACTATAAAAGAATAATTTTCACCTTGTCTTTTTCATAAAAAAAAACTAAGTTTGAACAAATGAGAAAATTGCTCATATGTACAAATACATAAATGTAATAATTATATATAAATCGTGTACAATTATGTTAAATAATTTAGTTTAACTTTAATTCGCAAATTTGCTTTTTCACAAAACAGCGCAAAAGTTATTTTTCTCATTACCTTTTAATTATTTTTCTTATATATGCAAATATGGACATGTATGTATAATTATACATACAAGTCTTTTTTTCCGAGTGTGTGCCCCTGAAAAAGTAACCTCTCATTTGTGAGATATGTGCGACCATTGTCAATGAAAAACCATATATGCGACTATATATGTTGTCCACAGTTTTTAATTAAAACTCATCGCAATTAAAGAGTTAAAATTAATAGATAGGCCGGCAAGAAGTTAAATCCTGCGCATTGGATGCATTTATTTCTCTGCGTATACGTACATTCGTGCGTTTTTCTACGAGTGTGCGAAGCAATAAATTTGGTAAGCGACAACGTCTGTGATTCCCGATCGTAATAAAAATTCTTTCTAAACCATAATAAAAATTGCGTATATGCAAAACGTATTCGTTTTATGCGGGAGTTAGGCGAGATGGGCGAGATGGATGCGCAGTTTCAAACCAAACGCGGCGGGCTTGCGCAGCGGCGCATTGGCGTTGCATTCAGAGCATTCAGAGTCGAGGACTGGCGAGGTAGATGCACGGCGAGAGGTTAGGTTTTGACGTGAAACGTTAGCGCGCGCCTCGATATTATAAATTATTATAAAATAACACATCGTCGCGTGGCTGTGATTAATACACGTGTCAACAATGGATCCGGCTTTACTCAGAGAGCGAGAGCTCTTCAAGAAACGTGCTCTGTCCACACCAGTGTGAGTATCCAAGTTGCTTTTCTCTACGTTGCTCTTTCATCCGTTATTATTTTTTCGCTGTACGTCACGTATTTGAGGAAAATTACGAAGGAACAATAAACATTTACACGTAGATACTTAATTTCGCGCCAGATTCTTTTGTTTCTTCGGTTAAGTCTTGTATCTATCAAGTCCGAGTACGTACATAACCTATCGTAGTAACGCAGTAGTTTGTCGTACTAGAATCGTATTTGCGGCGTGTATGCCGTGAGATTTCGACGGTTCCCGTGAAGATATAAATGTATTTCTGGTAATGTGATTGCAGGGTTGACAAAAAGAAGCAGGAGAAGGACGCGACGAAAGATGAACCGAAGAAGAAGCCGAAACCATCGTTTGTGTCTACGGGGCCGAAAGTGAATATAGCCAACTATAAGACCATGTCGAATAATAAGTTCGGCGTGATGGCGAGGATAGTAAAGCACATGAAAGCAAGGCACCATGAAGGCGATGATCATCCGTTAACATTGGAAGAGATTCTGGACGAGACAAATCAATTAGACGTTGGATTAAAGGTACCGTTCGCTATCGCATTCCTATTTTGTGTCTTTATTTGCCGTCGGAACGAGCGATTTAGTTGCCTTTCACATACTTTCAGGACAAACAGTGGCTGCTGACTGAATCTCTACCAGGAAATCCTAAGATCGAAGTAATCGACGGTAGATTTGTTTACAAGCCTCCGTACAAAATTAAAGATAAGAAATCTTTCCTGAGACTTCTGAAACAGCACGATTTGAAAGGCCTGGGCGGTATTTTATTGAAGGACATAGAGGACAGCTTACCGCATTATGATAAACATTTAAAAGTAAGCGTAAACACGCGGAGACTGATTTTTGGTTGCGATTCGTAAAATGCTAACGCTCTCGCTCTATATTTATTTCAGAATTTACAAAACGAGATATTGTATATTATGCGACCGATTGATAAGCAGAAGATAGTCTTTTATAATGACAAGACAGCTCAATTCCCCATTGATGAAGAATTCCAAAAGTTGTGGAGAGCCGTTGGGGTAGATTCTATGGATGATCAGAAGATAGACGAATATCTCGAGAAACAAGGAATCAGGTCAATGCAAGATCACGGGCTCAAGAAGCCAGTACCAATCAAACGGAAGAAACCCATTAATAGAAGGAAACAATTTAAGAAACCAAGGGACAATGAACATTTGGCAGATGTTTTGGAAACGTACGATGATTAGGAATTTCATGATTGTCGTATCGTGTTAAATAATCGTTTGTATCAAACTTACAGAATAAGTGAAATTAAAATAAAGTAAGAGTATTATTGAATTTACTTTATAAATCGTTATTATCTCAAGTGGAATTTTATGAAAGGTTTTTGGACATTTGTATCTTTTGGTGCCTGCGCAAATTACTTCTATGCAACGCTACATGTACTCCAAATGTTTGTTTGCATCATAATAACGGTAAAATGAAAATAAATTATTTATTGCTCAACGAGTATAGTTACGATTTATTTTAAGCATTATATAATAAATAAGTAAAACATTTATTGTTACTTCACGTTGTAAATACAAAATAAATATAGAATTGTGTAAGCTGCAACATTTATATAAACTATATGTGTAGATTGGTCACACTCGCAATCAGCCCTCGTTTAAATCTAAGCGACTGCTTTAATTTGGTGGAGAATAGTAAAAAAGTTACAAAATATATTACTATTTTGTGATATAAGAATATAATAGAAGTATTAGAAATTATCTTTTTCTACATTACACTTTTCCCTGAACTGAGCGTTTTTAATGCACTCTGAAGCCATAAGTTACGAATTGAGTAATTTTTCTATCGGACAAATATAAAAGTATGTACATATTCTATAGTATTTGATATGAACCTTATTCTACAGATTAAAAGCTGATATTTCCTTTGGTGCTTCTCACTTCCGCTTTCATTGATTGCATAGTAAATTATTCCCAAATTCTACTTTCTATTCTGACATTTCTTGAAAGACGTCGATCTTTCATTCTGAGAGTTTTCTTTTCTCCTCGTAATATACTTTGTAGAACAATATTAATCTTTCGGTAAGGCAGAGTCGCTTTTTCCTCGCGAATAAGCACGTGTCGCTTTACCGCCCAGCATTCTGTCCAGCAAAGATTGTTTGTTTCTTCTTCTAGCTGCGAGAACTTCTCTGCATAATTCATGGAAAGACTCCGCAACCTGTGCAACCTATAGAAGTTGTTTGACCACTTAGAAAGGCCTACAAAACACATGAATATAGCTGTTAAATATTACAATTACCTGCTCAGCCGCGGTTATTTCACTAAACCAACATTCGAAATCCTTCGCTAATATCTCTCCCTCCTCGGCGCTGACTTGTCGTAAGTGAACCATATCGGCTTTATTTCCAACAAGTGCGAGGGGCATCGCCGCCTCGGGATCAGCTACTGCGAGAGCTTCCTTTGCCTTTCTGACAAACGTAAAAGAATTTCTGTCTGTTATCGAGTAGACCAACAGCAAGCCGTCCGCCCATTGTAAAGTTTCCATTGACGGTAGCTCATCCTCGCTCTAAAAGGTTTAAGTATTATGTGAGAAATTATCTGTAGACTAGTATATAATTTATGAGGTTTTATTATATACAGAAGTTACCTTTGGACACGTATCCAAAATCTCAAAAAGAATTGGTTCCCCGTCAACTAGCACCTCGTGTTTGTATCTGGTTTCTAAAAAATAATACAAGCTCGCTCTCATTATAAATATACAATGATTATTATCTATGACATAGATACATGATTTTGCGTGAAAGTATAATAAAATCACGATTCTCTCTTTCTCTCTGTTTCCTGCAACGTCTTACAACGTATTTCTTCTCAAAAAATTGTAAAGTTTCTTTCGTTCTTTAAAAAAAAAATTGATCTGCAGTCGAGCCAATTTGATTGGAATCGTTTTTCTTCAGTTTACGCTCAATATCGTTTGTGCAATTCAATTGGCGATTTATTTGAAATTCCGCGCGAGTGCAATCATTTTATTTGAACACAAAATGAAAATTAGTTTCAGCTCGAAAATGAAAGTAAAGTAAGCGATATGAGTTACTTTTGCGCCGCTGTTTTATTCATTAATTTATACATGAAACGATGGATAGCACGTCGTATTCCTCCCTTTGTTTGTAATGTAAATTTTGATAAATATTCTCCGAACAAAATACGAATTGTTGGCAGAGTGGCTTTACGATAGTTGAAAAATATTTAAGGTGGAACAAAAGAAATCTGTACATCGTTAAGCAATTTCGCAGACTGGATTTACTTTGAGACTCTAACACAGAGCACGTGCCTCCCTGCTGTCTATTACCGCGTCTGTATTCGTGCAAAACGAAAAAGTTTTGTTCGAGTATCAACCTCGCATTAGTGCCCGTCCTGTCTAGTGTCAAATTCGTCTTCGATAAATTTAGAACGGCCGCGGACCGAGGTATGCAGAGGGAGAATATACGCAGCCTTAGAAGCGGATTACAGTTGCTGGCAATTTTTCAAACTGGCGCGCTATTCTATTATATACTTTGCCGCGCGCACGCCAGTTTTGTGAGACACGCGAGTTGATAAAAAGTCAGCGACAAACATTAACTTTACGGCAGATTATAATCTAGACTTAAGAGACCCCGGTGAAACGGTTCTTAAAATACGATACAAATGAATCTCGAAAACCAATTTGATATGAAACTAATTCGTAATGTCACATTATCTTTACGGCACTGACGAATGTGCAGAACGAGGCGTAAAACTAGCGCCACATTATGCGCGATTCGTGATTCGCAGAAATTCGTTGGGCATTCTATTATTTACTACACTATTCGTGATTTGTAATTTGTTACGCACGCGTAATTGCGCACGTCGAATCAACCAAGTTTCCCTCCGCGCTATTCACGGACATACGAATCGCGCATCACTAAATGTTTCAACGAAGATATAAAAATTTCGACAAATTTCTATCTCGAGTTAATTTTTGTAGTTATTTGTAGAAAATCTTTCCGCTAGAGTAGCTTAAAACGACTTAAAACGACGAGAAACAGCGCATTCGGCGTGCAGTTATTCTACGATACGTTAGTATCGTAAAATTTTTTCTCAACAGAACTTTCGACGACGGTTCGGCTGGTAAACAACGTTCGGTGCGCGGTGTTTTTCACCCAACGTGCGACGCACGTGATCCCGCAAGGTCGGTCGCTGCCACGGCGCTAGACCATTCACCATTGTGTTATCATTCGCTCGAGCGAAGAGGTCGTGTCGCGAGCCGCTCCGCGTATCGTCCCGTTCCACCCCAAAACGCAATCGCTTCTTACGATCAGTTTCCATCGATCCGCGTAATGTAGTTTCGCGTGGCAGTTGACTGTTTCTGGAAGGCGGTGGACGCAAAGAACAAACGCGATCGTTTTCTACAAACGGCGAGAGATCGAATAACAGATACGATACAACGCTGTAATAGAGTAATTACGCGATCCAACAATGCGGCGTATCGATCGATTACGAACGTCACGACGGCGTTTCGCATTTATTTCGAAACGTGTCGAAGTTCTTATGTATCTTTGAACCGTTTAAAGCCTACGCTACAATGATTCTCGGTTCTGTCTACAATGGTCGTAGTCGTAAGAATAATCGACTGCGATTGGTCAATTCTTATCGAGCGACTACGACTACGACCATTGTAGACAGAACCGAGAATCATTGTAGCGGAGGCTTTAATGGATTATGGTAATCATTAGTCATTAAATTGCGCGGTACTTCGGGGCGTCGGAATGAAGTTGCAGCCCTGTCGATTTTGCGGTCGATTAACGAACCGTCGTGGCGTCGCGCGCGACAACGGAACGAATTGACTTCGAGTCGAGCAGCGTCGCGACGCGTTTCGTGAAAAATTGGGTCAAGAACACACCCCCGGCTGTCTTCCCGAGCGGAGTCAAAGTGTGCCGATCGAGTCGGGACGAAATTCTAAGTGAAAGTGCGTCGACCGTGTTCCCTAAGAGGAAAGCAGGGGGGTCAATTGTGTATAATCTTACACCATAGCGAAGGTGCTAAAAGCGACTGGCTGTGTCTCTTTCTAACCGTCCCCTTCGAGAGAGACAAAGCCGCACACTTTCGGCATTTTCACTGTATCTAGGGTACAGAACTGACCCCGAGCTTATTTCAAGTGCGGCCGCGGTGCAGGAAAGTCCACCTGGTGCAGACGCGGCGAGTGCCGCGTGAAGTTGACCGCGCGTCTTACAAACTCGTCCGCCATATTCGGCTCGTCCGGCCGCTTCGCTTGGCGCAACGTCGTGTCTCCTTCGCGTCGTTCCTTTGTCAAAGTGTAACGCGGCACGAGCGACACGAAGTGTCGCGCGTGCGAGAGATACGTCGACGAACGTCGGGAGTGCCGTGCAAAGTTTCGCGCGAGTGTGCCGTGTCGCGACGAGTGTCGCGCGCGACAATACCCTAACCGTGTTTTCGGGGAACGAGTCGCAATTCGGGGGGGCGTCGCGTGTTCCGCGCGATCGTCCTTAACAATCGCGACTCCGTGTTTCGCAAGTGAGTGAGTGTGTGGCTGCCACGAGGACGGACGCGAGAGGAGGAGCAGGCCTGGGGCGGCGTCGGGCGTCGGCGGAGCAACCGTGGGTGAGTAACTTAATAATACATTCCTAGTTGTCGGTCGGCGTCGAAACAATGGGTTTGTTTTCTGTTCCTGCACTGGTGAACTAGTGCAGTAAGCTAGAATGAGAAAAAATATGCTTGTCTTACTCCAATTTATTGCACTAGTTCACTAGTGTAGGAACAGAAAACAAGCCTAATGTCGCGTCGGCATCGAAACCGTGTCGCGTTGACTACGTTTACGCGGCACCCGTGTCGGACCACGGATTGGGATTGAGATCAGCTTGCAATGTGACCAATTAGAATGCAAAAGTAATATGCCTCGGTGGTCGAATTGGCCGGGACGCCCGCCTAGAGAGAAGGGAGGTCCAGGCTCAAACCCCGGCTGAGGTAATAGTTTTCGCAATAGATTTTCTGTTTTATTAAAATTGCCGGATACGGCCGACAAAAATCACGGATGTTGTCGGAGCCAAAGTCGCTAAACTTGAGATTAGTAAATTTTTTACTCTGGCTGGTCAAATTTCAATCTGATCTGAATCTCAATCCGTGGTCGGGCTTGAAGCTATGCGCGATTCGCAATATTTTGAACGTACGTTATTGCTTACCGCGCTATTCGTCATTCGCAGTTTATCATTCGTAGTTTGTCGTTTGCCGTTTCGTTCGTGTCAACTTGGACAACTCCTTAACTTTTACCTTGCATCATAAGTCTACAATTAGTCAAGTATCAATATTAGTCAAAGAAGCGCTATTTTAGTAAAAAAAAACCGCTCGGCTAGCGAATCGCTGCGAATTGCGTACGGCGAATCGGCCAGTTTTTCCTTCGCACTATTCACGAATGTACGAATCGCGAATGGCGCTATATTCAACATCGAGAGTTGTACATTAAAATTCTTTTCAATTGATCTGGTTACTTGTTATTACCTAGTAAACGCCAACGGTTACAAACATGAATATTGTAATTTTCTACTTAATAATGCGATAACATGAGCTATGTTACAATTATATTGCTGAGTGGGGAAATTATAATATTAATGTTGTGTAATTGTTAGTTGGAATTTGGGGTAATTGAAAAGTGGATAATTAATCATTAATTGACTGAGAAAATTGTTACTAACTTCCTAATAAAATATAACTATTACTTTATTAACTGTAATTACAGTTAATAAATGTGTCAGCAACTTATTAATTAGTACCAGCTAATTTATTTTCGCGATAGTTGTACGATATATTCCACGCAAGCGTCAATACGTGACACGTATTATTTGTTGTGTTATGCAAATGTGTCTTAAACTCAATCCTAAGTGAGCGAGCGAGCAGAAACAAACACGAATGATCAACCGCAATGAGTTCGAATGGCAGCTCTACAGGACAGCGACACTGTTTGCATTCATTGAAGCGGATTGTTTATTCATGTTTATTCGCGCTCGCTCTTGCTCTGAATTCAGCTTTAAATATATATTTTACGTGTTTAGAATTTATAACGAATATTAATATGAAAATTGTCTCCTTTCTCGAACTTTTGAAAAACACTCGCGCACGAAAGTAATTCTTCTCAGAGATCACAGTCGTTTCGATAAATACTTTTATTAAAAAAATGCTTCAATTTAAAAGAACAAACGAGAGATCCGATGTATACGGTAATTATTTCAGAAATGTTAATTATTTCGCCGCTATAACTTGAACATATTTATGTTTTCCAGATCAAAGTTCGTAACTCCGCTGCTGCACATCGTATCTATGTGAGTCAATTCATTCTCTTAATTTCAGATAATGACTCTGTGAAATTAATTTCGAAATCAGCATGAACATATGTATTCAAATGGAATATGTCGGACAGAAAGTGGAAGACTGAAAAGACTTTTCCACAAATCCTTTCTCCAATTTCATAGATTCATTATCTTAAAATAAATGGGCTCGGACACATCAGGCAAAGAGGACAAAAGCGATGGAAAAAATATTTTGCGAAACAGCAAAAACTCAAAAGTAACAAATAATAAATAATGAATAGCGATTTGTTTGGTAGAGAAATTATGTCGAGTTTTGATAGAAACATTTTCACGTGATATATTTTTTACCGAACACGTTACGTATAGATATTTAATAAACGCGTTAATTTTTTAGTGACTTGACTCGAGACATTCGGCAATACGGATCGACGTCTTTTCTGACGTGATTTTGTCACTATATCGTAATAGACGTTTTATTTACGCCGATTTATTTAGACTCGCTTTATCCACCTATTTACCCAGACAGCACCCAATATTTGTAAAACGTGTAAAAATGTTTTGCAAATATTTTACAAGTAAATAGATAAGGTTTGAATGTGTTAAACACAACTTCAAAGACCGTGACAGAGTGTTAGTGTCTAAAAAAATTTGGTTATAAATTTATTACGGAAAAGCCTGGCTGATATTTTTCGCAATAAATTTATGATAAAATTATTTAGATACTGACATCCTGTTACGTCTCTTAGCCCTCTTATTCCTTCGAATATTTTATAAATTTTGTGTGCTGTTTGGGCAGTGATGCAACAATTTGGCGCGTATACATATGGAGAGTCACGATGCAACGCGGCCGAGTTAGTTGGTATTAAGTCACTAACAGAAACCGCGAACAGAAATATTAGCGTACCGGTTTAAGTCCAATAAATCGACAGTTATACCAACACGATACGATACGCATCGGAACGGTATTCGCGGCGGTACTGGTAACTGCGTATCGACATGCAGTCATTAGATGTGCGCTAAACGTATGTTTCCACCTCAATTATGGTGATGATGCACGTGGCCGCGGAAGGGAGAAAATGGATAACAGAACGGCGAGAGACAATAAAATACTAGCGAGAGAAAATGTCTCGCAGCGTATCGTGCGATTTTTCAACGGCGGTCAGTTTTCACGCGAACGATCATTTCGTTTAATTCTCAGCCGCGCGCACGGTCCCAATTAATCTTTAAATATCGACAATCGTTAGGTGTACGTTAAACGTATGTTTCCACCTCAATTATCATGATGAAGCCACGAGGCCGCGCGGACGAGAGAAAATAGAAAACAGAACGGTGAGAGACGACGGTATGTCAGAGAGAGAGAACGTCTCTCGCGGAATAATATCGTGTAATATTCGAATGGCGTTTCAGGTTTCGCGCGAATAATTGTTTCGCTTCTCAGCCGCGAGCACGGTCTCGATTAATCTTTAATTTAAATGCGATTTTCAAGCCGTCTCGGGATACCGGACGCTTCCAAATGTCCCACCCGATAGACTTTCGAGACTCGTTTCAAGTAACTATAAATACGGGCCCCAAGACCTTTCTCACCTGATTGATGATCGTATTCCCCGATGTATCTCCTCGTCAGAAATCTCACTGTCAATGCTGAAACATAATGGAAATATGTACTGCTCGCGTATATAGTTGAAGCGTGACATAATTATGTTGTACGCGGTGTAATTGAGTTGGCAAACTATAATGACAGGCCACTCGCGCAACGTCGCGCCTTGGATTCGTATGCGTCGTGGCGATCTACATATCGTCCGTTTGTTACAGTCGCATCTATTTGTGCGAGAGAAAATCAACGAGCGAAAATACTGTCTCCCGGTGTTCGTACTCGTTGCGCTCTACAAACCATATTTAATATCTAATCGCATGTGGCCAAAAACAAAATTAGAAAACTAAAAATTAATAATAGAATCAATATAACTGGCCCGTGTGCAACTATTTCTATCTGCGCACTTTATAAGTGCGAATCAAAGGACGGTAGAAAATCTCTGAAACCTGGGAAAGAAAATGATGAAATGAAAAATGATGAAGCGACGAGAGAGAATTGCATTAATTATAAAATCGTATTTATACACTGCGTACATTTATAAAATATCTATACGTTGTCTAGTTTTTTTTTATTTAACACAATCATCTGCTACTTGAATGTAAATTGACTCGTACAACTGTTTTCACGTAGGAATTTAATCGGTTAATATTTTATCGTTACGCAAAATATTTTCTCATTGCTTCAATATTGAACATAACAGTTTTCAGTTCTGAAGTATTTTGCGCTGTGTGGATTTGATAAATAGAAACACATATCTAGACGAAACGCTTACTGTTGCCACGGCACTTAATCTTCGGCGCGCTATTGAAGCGATGTCCGTTCGATTAGTCTCAATGTTTTGCGTGAAAGTGATGAAAACAGGCTGATCTCGCGCTGACACGCGCGATCTTCTCGATATGATATTACAACTGAACATATTGCGATTCGATCGGGAGAAATGAGAGCTACAACCTAGTGACACGCTTCGAGGTGTTCCGCACTTTATTTTTATCGCGAACTCGAATCTACCACGGCGCCACAAAACCTTGCGCAATGCATTAACGCCACCGTAGCTTATTTCATTTTTAACACGTGGACACGCTTTCTTTTTGAATACGAACCGCCAGTTTGCATCGGTTATCCGAGTAAAGCTGGCAATTAATCCGAGTCTGACTTTTTTAACTGTAACGTTTCCGCAAAATTAATAAATCGATATGAATTGGAGAATGAGGATAAAAAGAATTAGAATTTCGAGCCAAATTAACTTAGCACAATCAATTTATTAGTTTGTAAATGGATTCGTGCAAATTCGAAATTAACGAATGTACAAAAATTCCATGAATATAGATATTAAAACTTGTATAGGATGTATCTCTGATATATTGTATATGTATATGTACAATATATTGTCTAAAATATAGGTCAGTTTTTTGATCGACACAGATGCGTGGATGTTTCGAAGGCCAACAAATTTATTAGCGATTGGTTTATTTACGTTCGAAATCTGTGGACCAAGATCATTGAAATGCCGCTTCGTTTCTCCTCGATTTAATCTCGCTGTCAGTAAGAGAGTTTAGAGTTGAAATTCTCAGACACATCGGATTTTCTTAATAAATCTCGCGTTACAAAAATAAAATGGGGATTAAACTTAGAAAATCAAAACAGTATCTCTTAATAATTAAAAAAAACTGATAAATACCGTGATAAAAGAAAGAGAAATGTAAAAGATTTTCGCGTGAAAAGAATTTAAAGTACAATCTGCGAAATTAGAACAATACTTTTTTAAATTATATATTCGCGCTTGCATATCATCTATGCATGATTATTATATTCTTTATTTACACTGTATAAAAAGCTATCGGAAGAAACATCTTCTACACACTATTACGGTAGATCTTTTAGATGTTTGCGTTTGCTTGAAATGTAGAAGAAATAATATTTTCCCGATAGGAAGTTTCGATCGTAGAGAAATGTTATGGAAAGCACAACGACTCGTGATGATCCAAGGCGGATTTTGAAGTAAAACTTTATAAATAGCAGCCACGTATTTTGCGGCCAACAGAAAAGACGCACAGTTCTGGCGAGGACGGACCAATTATTTATTCACCTATGCCTTTACACTTGCCATTACCAAAAATACACGCGGTTAGCTACTCTCAGGGTCCTCAACATGTCTTATGTATGCATCTTTATCGCGCGAAACGTGATTTGTGCTATATTTGCACTTGAATTTAGAGTGTCGGCCATTTACTGCAAGATTATTTCTTTCTCAAGATACGTCTACTTTTATTCTCACTTTCTTTTCTTCGCGACTTTCGTGTAATAACGTATGAAACATCTTTGTCCTTTATTATACTTCAAGATCTCTTAATTTATATATAGATTTATAACCGCAACTGTGTTAAGTATCGGCCATTCTTCTCTATTTATGTTTGCATTAATGAGAATTAAAATTGAACGTAGTTGCGCGAAAGTATTTTTAAAAATCTATTAAAATACTTAATGATTGACGTAATCAACTTTTCTATTAATAATCGAAGCTAGAAAACGTCTGGAAATTTTACTACGATTAAAATGTAAAGAGAAATTATAAGAAACTGCAAACATAATTTTTTGTATAGAAATTTCGTGTTCTTTGTGAAAATATTCTTATTATTAATTTGACTATTCTACAAGAAACAGCATTTCGCTTCTTGATATGCAGTGATTGCATTCTTGATGTATGAGAAAGATGTTTCGTGGAAATTTTATCGTTTTTTCGTCCCGTTAATTAAATTTAGTTTCATCTTTACTTTTATTGCATTAATATTAATATTTGCACTAATATGGAAAGTTCAGTTACATTTTATTATGGCTTTATTATGGGAATTTATCAAAATACATTTACTTACCGCTTTTGCCAACTCCTGGTGCTCCTATCACAGCTACTTTAACTTCGCACAGCGAACTCTTCTTTCTTCTGATGCCTCTAATTGCATTTGACGTCATACTATAAGCATTTGTCACTGCAAATAATAAAACAGTTAAGATTATATCATACGAAAACGTCTAATAAACATCTTAAAGAATTTGCAAGTGCATTATTATCAATTTCAAAATTTATATGCGCTTGTATTAAAAGAATAATTATCCCTTGAAAGAAAATAATAATTGTTAAATTATTTCTCTGTCGAGAAAAATTACCACAAAATACGAAAATAATTTACTTTACTAAAACGACAAATATCACGCTTTTATAAAACATATTTATTATGAATAATTATGAATATTATTAACTTATTATTAATAAGTTACTTATTATTAATTATAAATAATAATTATTAATTGTTATTTTCTCTCACCCTTTCTCTCCCTCTCTCTCTCTCTCTCTCTCTCTCTCTCTCTCTCTCTCTCTCTCTGTTAATGTTATTATTATTGTAAATTTTAAAATTGATATGCACTTGCATTCAAAGAATAATTGCATTTGAAAGAAAATAATTATTCGCGTGGTTTGCATTTATTTTGTTGCGAGATTAGTATTGTTGTTTTTTGGATTACCGGACCGCGAGTTATTTACCAGGTGTTTCACTTCCTCTAGTGCGCAATAAAAAAAAAAGCGAAAATTTTCACGGCACTTCGTGGCATCCGCCGCTTGTTTCTCTTTGGGCGCGTGTTTGAATAAGTCGTGCTACACTTCGAAAGAAGGGAGCGGCAAGAGCGCCTGTCTAGAAACGAGAGAAAGTGAGACAAAGCGAGGAGCGGATAAGAAGAGAAGGCAAGATGTGACGGGTACATTAATAGAACGGTTTGCACACACATGTTCCGTGGAATCTCGGGAATTTCTTCCACTGTCTAACAATGTGCCGGGGTTACGAATACCAGGCGCGATGGGGACGATAATGCGGTTTATTACGAAATTTCCATGTAATCTCGCGCGTGATGGCGTAGATTCAATGTCGCTTCTAATCGGCTTCATTAAAGTCCACGGCGACTTTGTCGACTTTAATCGTAACATATCTTTAATTTACCGGTAACACCGATCGGCAAACAGTAAATATCTCCGAATGGCCGCATACGGCAACCGGTGCAAATCCTCTCCTCTTAATTTCTAAAGCGTTAGAATATGCACCGACTGTACTTAACATACTTTTCCTAAATGAATATAGTACATGTTAATGGGCCTTGAAACATTTTATCGTATAACAAAGTAGCTGCGATCGTGTAGCGCAGATATAAATAGGTATCGTAAAAATATGCAAATGAATATACCCAATGTAAGTAGACAACATTTAACACAAGTATATAAACTTTTTGCCGAGAGATATTTTCTTCCTCTCCTCGCATAAGTGAAGAACATTTTTTTCCCATCTGTTTTAATATTTCATAATTTTACGGTATTACTTAACAGCGTGAAAAAAAGAACTACATACATTTAACGATAAAACTATAAAATGTATAAAATGCAATTAAATTATTTTTTTTAAACTCTACTCTCAATCTATTATACATTAAGCTCTATGCTCTCTGGTTTCATATAAAATATGCATGATTATTAATATATGATGATTTCGATACATGATGAACTTTTTCATCGATGACAGATAGAAATGCAATATCGATCATTTTATGTCAGTCTATCAGCAGATATTCGATGTAACTGTACATATTTTAAGTACTCTGGGACTTACCGGGTTTCAGCTAAAATACACTCCGCAACAACACCGTTACACTATTGTTTTATTGTTCCGCTTTACACGCTGTATCAGTTTATACCGCGATCGAACTGTTCGTCGAATAACGACAGGAATGCATAGCTCCAATTTGAATGTGAAGTATAGAACGTTTCGCGGAATTATCTATTAATTTTGCGGGCTAAACTCGAAAGAACGTACGCGCGCGGTGCAGACTTTGGCCCATTGACGACAGGGCATAGCAAATCTGTTTGGCGGATCGCGCGATTGAATCATAAGGCGACGGCGGAAGGTAGATCGGCCGATGGTCGCGCGTCCGTCACGTGAACGGCAACAGCCTGGTACGAATTCGTGAACCGCCGCGGCTCTTGGTCTCAGCGCGACTGTCTCGCCCCATTCTCTTCTGGCGGCTCGCGAGGCCCGCCGGTTCCCTTATTGCTCTTAAGCCGCATGTACACGCGGTACCCGCTTCCGGTACAGATGTGCGCGCAGACGAAGGTCGAGATTCGAAACGGCCGATGTCCCTCCGAGCCTCGCGTACCGTGCCGTCTTCTCGTCAAGATAAAATTGGCGTGGACGTACGCGACGGGATGGGAAGTCGGGGTGTAACCAATGTTTCTTAGAAACGCGGAAACTTGGCCAAGTGCTGATTGAATCACGATTAGTAGACGATTGTAAAAGTCATTACATTAAATCACTTTTAATGAACCTTACATAACTGCAGCAACCAATCCAGTAATTATACAATATTTTTAACAACACGTTAGTTCTCTTCTTACAAGAATTTACGTCATTTAACACTATAGATACCAATTTTTGTATGTTTACAAGGTGCTAAAAAGTACATTTTTTTTTACGCAAGATTATATATTTGATAAAACCATTAGATGCGTGTGCGTGTGTGGATGCATTCGCAGAATGAATAATGCAATATATAACTTAATAAATATTTATATTTTATTATATTATTAAGCACAGAAATGAAGAAGAGAAGTAAATCGGACAAATTTATTTCCAACCTTTGTAAAATAACAAAAAGATATGCCAATGGAAGTAATCGTTGCTATGCAAAATTTGATGGTACAATACTGTCGTCGATTAACAATTCACTATGACTTTAAATAATCTCCACTGTTGAGGTAAAAACATAGGTCTCTGCGTTTATCGACAGCCCTGCACTTTACTGCTGCAGATACAATTCGCTCGTTTCAGGGAGCCACATGTTGGTGGACTTGAAAATTTCTTCCTTTCCGACTTTGTCCACTTGCTCTCGGTGTCGTCTCGATGCCTCTGGGCAACCGCCAAATAACCAGTTCACCACTCGCAGCAGAACTGGTTTGACCCGATCTGAATAATGATACAATTAATTTTCAAAGTTTTCTCAGCATTAAATTGCATTCACTTGCTATAATAATTATTATAAGTGATTATAATTACTTTTTTAATAAACGTTCCCGATAAGCTTTTACATTTTAATGTTGTAATTAAACGTATCATTTTTTAGAAAGTTTAAATTATACACGAATATAAGAATACATTAAAAGTTTATTAATATCTTTCAGAGTTAAAAATATATATATTACAATTAATTGTTTTTTTGGAACTGGAAAGTAAGGAAAGAATTAAATTTGTTTCAAAGCATTGCAAATCAAATATTTTCGCGTGATAACCCGAGAATAGATTGTTATTTTTCATTTTATTATTACGTACCCTTTGTAATCAATGAAATTTCATAACATTTTTGAGTAAGATTCTTTGTATCGTGAAGAAATCGTCGGTTTTCTTTCCGACGCTCGTCACGTAACTCTCGCTTTGTGAATAATTTTTCTGTACATGATAAATTGTTAATCTATTTCTATTATATAACACACGCGCAAAATAGTGTAAATTACCCACGGGGGAAACCGCTGAGGGCATTATAGTGTACACATTTGCGGCATTACTGGGCATTACTAGGCATTACTAGGCATTTTTTGGGCATTAGCTTGGCCGTTAGGCCTTGCTGAGGCATTAAAAAGATAAAAAAAGATAAAATAAGATGAAATAAGGTGAAAGAAGCTAAAATAAGATAAAACAAGATAATTAAGAATAAAATAAGATAATAAGACAAAGTAATGCCCACTGGGCATTGGTGTACATAATTTTGGTCAGCGGTTTCCCCCTCGAAATTACCATAATGTGGATCCATTGGCTTGTTTATAATTCTTGTCGCGCAATCTTTACTCAATTGGTGTTGGGGAGCAATTGAATCTTCCTTATGCTTCTAAAAAATAGATAGTCTTTTAATATATTAGATTACCGATTATAGAATATAAAATATTATTTCAATTTTAAAAAATCATAGAATAAGGTAATCAGTTTGAAAATAATATAATTATATTTTATAATTTCTGTTGATATTGTATGACAGTTTACAATTTTAGTTTTTTTTGTCTAATAACATAAAAGTAATATGTATAATAGATATTTATACAATATTATATATTGCATTATGACATAATGTAACGATTCCATGCCCATACACACATACATACCATATATCTAAAATTTTGTTTAGTCTGCAATTCTATATCAGTATCAATGTTGCTTACGTCTTCTTGTTTTGGAGATGCAGTCTTGAATTTTCTAAAACATAATAACACTTTAAAAAATTTTCTTTTTTATAAAGTTCTTGTTTACTTTTGTGCAGTTATCATCATCATGCACTGATTGTTATTTATTTGTTTGAGGAAAAACATTTTATAAATCGAAAACTTCCCCGCCATTAGTAACTTATTACTAATATAACTATATTCTTGGTAATCACTGTTTTCGTACATCGGTTTATATTTGATATCATTTTTTTATCAATAATTTCTGAAACCGCGCCGGAATCTGTTTTCTTGTTCCAAGAATTTTCTTACCGCAAATGAGTCTTATTTCGTAAGTTATCCGCCGACACATACGTCGTGATTTTCATTTCTGGACAAGTATTTTGTGGAATTTCCGCATTGTCTTTCTCGCATTTTTCATCGATTATCGATATTTGCTGTGGGCTGGTGCTATAAGTATTGATATATTTTTATCCTTGTTGCACATTATACATTCCGTAATAACGATTGTACTGCATTCTTGCATAAAAATATAGGTATATTCAATACGGAAGATACGTGCTACCACAAATGCACGCTTGAGCATTTGCACTTTTTATGTATTAACTAATATTATTGGTATTAACAAATAATATTAACGAATATTATTTAACTAAATGACACTTTGAAGGTGTCCAAAACATGGACACAAAAGATGAAATAGTGATTTGGCGATACTTGTTAAAAATATGTAAATTTTTTACGCAAAATTAAACGATTCAATACGTCTCGGCGAAAGCCTGATGATGGTATACATAATTACATAAGTTAATATAAAACCATCATATTTGATATGACATACGTACATGGTTGACACTACCACTGCATCAGATTCCGGCAATACATTGTTATCCGCATCTCGATGATGATTGTGTCGATGACGTTTTCCATCGTTGTGCCCTGTGCGATATTTCTTACTTTTGTGTTTTCTACAAAGTGCTTACATATTATTCAAGTACACATTAATCTCGCGGTCAGTTAATATTTGCATAATAAAGCACAAATAAAGCCGTATTTCTTGTACAGGCTATGCTTTCACAAGTTACTAGACGATTTAGTTCGTAAATAGAAGGGATAAAGTATCTACGTGAAAGTATAACTGACCTTATTGATTTATCGATACCGTTGTCGAAGTTCGTTTTGTTACCATATATTTGTCCATGATCCTTTGTATCTTCTTCGTACACTTTTCGATATAGTTCTTGTATTCTTAGCTCTTCGTTTTGAACGGTTTCGTTTCTCGCTTTTATCTTTTCACGATCAGTTCCATTTGTATTTAAGGCAAACTTCAATCCGTTTGCAACAGTATCTATCAAGATGCAACACGCTCTCCGAGCATCTAAAATATATATATAATTTATTTATGTATTAGAATTTGAATTTAGTATCTACATCAACTCAGTGCAATCCATTTTATTATTTTCTCCTTGTAACTTAATAAATAAGGAAAAACTTAGAAGTAATTGTGAGAGTTCTAAAAACTTAGATTTTTTTTACTTAAAATTAAATATATTAAAATACTTGAAGTAGATATTATTATACCACCATTAAAACTATAAACAATCTCTAGTATTTTAACAATAAATTTACGGTTAGAAAATTATTTCTATAATACGGTTACATTAAATTTTAATTACGTCTAAAAAGTCTATTAAAAATTACAAACAATAAACAAAATAAAAGAGAATAAAAAGGTTCGTTCTCTCTCTCTCTCTCTCTCTCTCTCTCTCTCTCTCTCTCTCTCTCTCTCTCTCTCTCTCTCTCTCTCTCCTCTCACTTGACATTTTTCCTTTTCCTACTTACATGAACGTGACTTGGGCACGTAATACAAAACGACGCCACACAACATTAACGCGATTAACGAGAGTTGCTTCAGGTAGATGATCCACTCAAGCACGCAGAATTTCTCGTCAAAATAAGCTGATGAGCAAAGAAGGAAGTCATTTGGCTGACGAGAGTGAGAGAGAGGACATAACTTTCTCTTACCGTGTCCATTCCGCGATTTGGCGCACACGCACTGCGTAGCAAACGCGACGATGAGGATTACAGATTTCACAGTAGATGTTAGATGCATTTGCCCAAGTGTTACTTTACATTATTATATTGCAATCGTTAATCAAAATGTTGCAAAGGAATGGGAAAAGGAAGAAAGAATTGTTGAGTGACAGACACGTTCTGAAGCGATGTCCGTTACAACGTAAGAGGCAATTTCACTTCGTTTCAAGCATTTCCAGTTACGCGTCCAGCTTACGCCTTTAATTATGTTTGATGATCGCAACAGCTAATATGGCGTTAAGGCAATTACGCCAATAGTTATATCACGCGTATTTATACGCGGATTTTCACTTCGTAATTATACATCAGACGCGTCACATGAAAAGATAATAACACGTGTAAGATTCATATCTTAATTTTTTATTTATGCTCTGAGTACTTTACAATATAATACAAAGGAAACATATGTCATATGTATTGACCGTCTTTGCTACAATCTAACGAGGGTGGGTTACACGCACGTACACGTACGAGAAAAATCTTTCATACGGATCGGTGCGATTGGGATAGCATAGCGTGCGCAAGCGGGGACTCGCACTACTCGCTAAATAGTATCTCTCTAAAGCAACGTTGCTTCGTGAACCTCCGGAACAGTTTGGGGACTGTAGTCTCCAAAGAGTTCCGAGCGGGCGAGAAGCGGTATAGCGCCTAGATGCGGACTACCTAGATAAGAACACAACTTAGAGATATTCTTTACGAAATACTGTTTAATTCGACGCAGGTAAATTCTAAATCAAGTGCGACAAGCCGACAAGAATATACTGCTGAACGCTCACTTCTTATCGGCCAGTCCGGGAGAACTGCCCAACGACTCCCTACAGCCGTCGTGTGACAATTAATTCGCGAAAGAAGAGAATACTGTACGCTCGCATTTGAACAACAAATTCTATCGCGATGAGGAATCAATCCCGCGAGTTCTATAAGTTCTACAAGACTACGATAACTCTTAGCGACAACCATCTCGCGTTATAATTTTTTCTAAATGTAGACTGCACTACGAAATATCGGGGGGCAGATGCCAGTGTTTGCTGGATTAAGCAAATTTACATATAATAACATATAATAATACACTAGTTTATAATAGAATAGAACGAAATAATAATTAATAATAATGTGAGAATCTCTCATACGCGTGTACGCGCAGCTATTCGTAAAAAAATATAAAGCTATTTATAATCAAAGATATAACCTTGTGATATGTATTTCCGCTCATTTGGCGCCTCGTTAAAACACTCGAGGACAAAAGAGATTTGGGCTGCCACGAATTACTTAATCCACAACATGATTCATTATTCAATTAAATTGTACGATTATCTTGACGGAATGTAACGCAAAGGATACGCAATATAGGCTGACATTCGCGCGCAGCAAAGATTCATTCTTTACACGCATAATCAGCGCGCGTACACGCGTATAACAACGCAAATGAACGATTTTATACACGGAATGAGGGACGATAAAAATGATGACGATGAGATGACGTGCTCCACCGAACCTGGAAGCTGAAGCCTCGATGCAATTAAAAATATTTCTCTTGTTTAAAACGAATAAACCTTTCGCAATCGAAACAAATAAAATCTTATAACTTCCTTAAAATTACTGGATCGAACTAACGCGCTTTCGAAACATATGATTAAAAGACTCGTTAAGCTCTGTTACAATTACTAGGAAAAATATTTTTTTATCGTACAATTATTATATCGCCGTTATTTGATAGATTGTCGAAAATTATTGTCATCAAAGAGCTCAAGGATTATTTAAATGCACATGATCGATTTCGAGGTTCGATGGTTTGAAACAAGAATTAACCGAATCGGTAAACGAAGACGCGGAAGTTTTCATTCTTACGAGAATTGTCTCGCTTTCATTTTGTTGACGGCATTCGTAAGGTGGGTCATCTCGGTATTGAGTTGAGAAATCATTCCCTCCAGTCTATCAACACTGTCGAGGACTTCGACGCGTTGCGTGTGCGGATTGAACCTGACCTCGAATGGCCGGCTCATAGTGGCCACCTGTAAGAGAAACCGAGGTTCGTGACTAAGCTCACGTGTCGGAATAAGATATAACAGAAGGCGGAAGTGAATAAGCTGCTAGTCTTCGCTTGCAATAAATACAAATTTTTAATACTGAAGAATTGAAGAATATAATGGATCTAGAGAATATCAAGATGAAACTTAATCTTTGATTTTATTAATTTCGAGTTTATGAAGAAGTGCATATAACGGAAATTAGGCAGAAGAGAAATCGAACTCCATTTCGCGGATAATAAACCGCGGACCATACGTCTGCTCGATGAATATGTATAATAGGGAAATAATTAACTTTTTCGTACTTACCCAACGACGGAATTTCTCCTTGGCGTCCTCGAAACTCTCGGCCACGTAATAAATCGGCTGGTATTCCTGATCTTGATACTTCTGGAGAGCGGTGGATGTCGGATCGAAAGCTCGATGCTCGCACTTATCGCTCAATGCGTGCAAGAGTTCGCCGTAGGCTGACAACAAGCCAGCACCGTAAGCCTTGACTTCGGGTCCTTCCTTACAAAGACCGAACTCAACCGTGAACCAGTAGATAGTCGATAGCTTCTCGATTTCCTCGTCTGAGGCGCCGAGAGACGCCAATCCAATTTCTTGCGAAAATTGAGCGAAACTGGGATCAGCAAGAAGCGGCATATGGCCCAGGAGCTCGTGAATGCAGTCTCTGCAAATAGAAGAAAAGAAATTTTTTTAATGCTGCCGTGTGCTCGTCTTCCGCATCCGTTGTCTGTTCCATTTCTTCATTTCGTGCTTAAATTTATCACTTATTGTTATCAATGTCAAGATTTTTAATCAAGTTGTTGCAATTTGCAATATTTAAACGCGCAATTTCACATCAGTAGGATTTTAACAGCATTATAAGTCAATTGAACGTGCGAAAATTAATTAAGATCGTCAGATAAATGGCGCGAACTCAAGGAGCCATTCCATTCTTACGATCTACAAAGCTATCTGCAGTTCTTGGAAATCGTACCGTGACGTGGATCGCTACGCGGAGAAACGAGTTCGTAACTGTGGAACTGAGTTATCAACGCCATCGTGTCGTTAAAAGCCAATTAGAGTTCCATTACGAGCTTAGAGAGGCGCGGTAATTCTATTATCATCGTTCTCTGTGTACCACGGGTGCAGGTTCCCGTCATAACGCAATATCGATTGCCCTGCAGTTTGACACGAAGGGGCAGCCGTGATGCGGAGCCAGAGCGACCTTTACAATGCCCGATTTTTACGTAAAGAAGCATTGCAGCTTTGCACCTTTCGATGCGATATATTATCGATATTAGATGTTCTTTCTATGCTTTATAGGTCGCGCCGAATTATAAAAGTTTCTACACAAGATGATTTATAAACGACATACGTAATATATTCTAATTCAATCTTTATCCACCCCTTAAAATAACTCTTGGATAACGTTAGAGAATTTTCGAAAGGAAATTTTCGGTAATTAATTTTTGGTCTCGATAGATTCGAGAGAAAATTGGCGATAATTAATGTTTGGTCTCGATAGAATTAACTAACGAAAGTACAAATTGTAAGTACTTACGGTTCGGGAGTGTGATACGGGCTGTTAATGTGGCGGACGTATTGAGTGCTCTGGAATATCCTGAAGGCAAGGCTGGACAAGAAGTCCCGCGCCGTCAAGAGACCGGCGGCCGGTCGAAGAGTGAATCCCGTGCTCTTCTTCAAGAAATCGCTGACTTCCTGCAACTGCGGTATACGGTGGGACTCGAAGATCCTCTCTTCTTGCAACTTCTTGAAAACTCTCTGGTATTCCACGCACGCGTGTTTCGGCACCAGATCGAGCACAGTGTTGAAGACGCGCGACCAAGTTTCGTTCTCCGTCTCGGTGTAGGGAATGCAGGGTATCGGGTCGCCGTACTTGTAGGCGAAAGCGATTTCGGCAATGACCTTGCGACGGGCGCGGTACTCCTTGTCGGCGAAACCCGGATGATTCATGTCGAGATCCGGCTCGTACTTGGTCATCAGGTGGTTGCAATTGTCGAGGTCGGAAGCGTGACGGGGGAACCAGGGATCTTTGATGCTGACGGAATTGTCGGCGAGCAGAGTCACGCCGTCCAAGGCCGAACTCTGTCGTAGATTTCTAATCAGCTGCAACAGGCTCTGTCTGCTCATGTCAATCTTGACCAAGACCTCGAATTGCAGACCTTCCTTCTTCGAAGGCCGTGACTCGACATGGGTGATCGTGCCCTTGAAGTTTTCAATTGTTTTCAGGATTCTGCCCAGAGAGCCGATGCCCTCTCGCAATCTCAATACCAGCGCCGCTTTCTGCACGCCCTGCTCGCTATCCGCAGATTCGGCTATAGTTTTCGCGAGCACTACTTCCTCCTCGGTTAGTCCAGCATCTGCGGAAAATTGAACATTGTCTAGTTTTGCTTGCTAACGACATCGGCAATTTTTCCGAATGAACTTGATCTATTCGTCAAATAACGGTTGCTAACATTTCTCTTGAAAAGATTTTCGTCGTTAGGTGACATCGTCTGTTAGGAGGGTTATTACTCGGGAAAGATCGTAGGACCGAATTGAACAAACGCTTGTAAGGACGAACAAAAGATACATATTTTTAAGTACAAATTTCAACCACCCCGAACACGTCCGATTCAAAGCATGACTTTTAAATTACGTTGTCCGATAATAACCGATGCTTCTTGATCTTTGAGTCGAAAACAAAGCCCAACTCGAAGTGTCCAGGTTGTTCATTAACCGTGTACCATCGTCGATTACTTTAATACTTTCAAATAGTTCGGATCACATCTATATACTAATATTTCTATGTAGATTCGACATTTGAGAAAATATGATTTGAAAAAATCCGTCTTAATGATATACGTCATATAGCTGAGAAGGAGAAAAGCGTAAATTCGACTTATGAAACTTTCCCAGAAGCGATTCTTTTTGGGCATAACTTCTCGCGAGTACCCTAAGTGACTTCCGCGGACGGTAATAATCGGGCAATTCAGAGTCCATTTTCGCATAGCGCCTTGCCGTCACGTCGGAAACGGCACCGTCTACTTGGCCGTGGGGGCGGCGGAAAAGTGGCAAAGTAGCCATCATTGTCGTGGGCGCGGACGTGCCGGCGAGATGGAAGGTAGCGCGAAAAGGAATAACCGTGTTACACATTTACTGCGGCCACGCAGGGTCGCTTGTGAAATCTCGAGAAAGGCTCTGCCCCGGTAATACGATTCTAAATGCACAGAGCGGCCGCGGAGGCCGAAGGCGGGTTGGAAAGAGACGGAAATAGCTCGCAGACGTAATTCACCCCAAGTGTCGACCGAGCACTCGCCCTGGTCGGCTGTCGACAATGGCGATCGTTTCATCCTCCATTTACCGTCGCCTTCTTATCCTTCCACCATGCACCACGCGCGGTACCTTCTTCGCACGAAATCGCCCATTTCCTGTTTCACTTGTATTGCGCAACGTGACATTTCGCGACGCGAGGACTGGACGCAATTACGATCAGGGGATAGAAGACGTACTTACCATCATCGTCATCGTCATCCGGTTTCCCATCGCTGTCCGATGAAGCCTCCGCTTTCGCTTCTGAAAGTCATAAGTTTCGTGCTCATGCCATATGCAACATTTACGCATTTTTGAATACTTGGCGGCGGACGCATTTCGTGCCGGTCAATTTCACGTTACAGCAAATATCGTAAATATGCATTTGTTGCATTAAATAAAATTATTGTATTAATAATTGCGTCTTATAAAAATGCACGTCACGCCTCAATTATTCAAGGATCATTATAAATTTTCCAACATCTGTGTACAAACCTTCCTTCTTCGCCGCGCAAACTAACGACTCCACCTGTTCATCGTCACTTGAAACATCGACATAATGCTCTCCCTGTCCCTGTTGTTCCTGAGTACAAGTAATTGTCTGATCCGCGTTCGTGTCTATCAAAGATACAAATCATGCAACATTAACATCTGCATGCGCATACTAATTATATTGCTTTGCTATGCGCCTGTAAGACTTACGTTGGCAAAAAGATACGTTTCGTTTGCAAAATCTTTTTAATAGTAAACGCATACGTTTCACTAATACAAGCATATTTACATAAATATCACAAGCTTTAATATAACTCATGCATATACCTAATACCAACATATTTCTTTCTATACATTAAACACGTATGGACGCGAGAATTAGCTCTTTTCAATATTAAAATAACATGCAAGACTCACCATTCGCTCGTTGTCGAGCTTCCTCGAGAACGCTTTGCTTCGTCTGTTTGACGACCAGTGTCTCAAAACGGGCATCGTCTACGAGAGAACGTCGTCGCGCTGGATACCCGTTCTAAAAATATCAACGTAAAGTGTGATTTAAACGTATACAAATATAAAACCGTGATAAATTAAATTTATGAAATAGTGGAAATATCTACATCATTTTTTTATTATTCTGCATATCGATGTACCGTTCTCTTGCATTCTGTCGCATTCGTCGCTAACACACAAGTAATTGTAGATATAATTTAGAACTTTAAATGGCGGATGTCCTTTCGCCCTGACTAGCCAGGTTCCGATTTCCGCGGTCTGTCCGTGGCTACCTTTGTCGTGAGACGAAACGGAAATCTAACCCGTCAATTCGACCGAGCGTCGCTTAAATCGGATAACGAACAAGAGACGCGGAAATTAATTTTCGCGACTTCCGTCCTGCTGCCGTTGAAGTATCGGAAATGAATTAATTCCGGCGGAGGGGTAAAAAGGAGCTTGACTGCCGTTCAGTTCTTAGAAGAAGATAACTTTTATTTCTCTTATTATCGCTCCCCTAATTGGTATATTGCTCAGCTTATCTTGCAATTTAATGAAAAAATTTTACCTGAAACATCTATGTCTCCTTGGCTATGAATTTTTCTTTTACATAGAAACGAAATTTAAGAGTAAATTGATAGCAGTTTGGTGACGCCAATTAAGAAATAAGAATTTAAATAAGCGTGGAAGCGACCTTACTGGCAATTCTTTATTATAAATTACGACGTTTCAGCCAGTAATACTGGTCCTCTTTAGGTAACAATCTTACAAGAGTGTCCGCAATTGTCTGGTAAACAAATGAGTTGATGTGTTTTGGAATAATAAGATTTTCAGTGTCTTTTTGAAGGTTGATTGTGTTATTAATGTTTTTTGATGAAAAACATATCAGCGATTTTTCGTTTTCTGAAGTGCGAGATTTAACAATTTATTCGAGAGTAAAGAAATAATGGAATAAGTCCTGAGAGACAAAGACTAAAATAGACGTTCTTATTTGGCGAAAACAGACAAGCATGCGCCACCGATCATTCAAATTCCTGGCCGTGTACATGTAGCATCGCGCTGGAGACCCAGTTGCATTTTCCAGCAAAGCCGTCGGTTGGCATAGTTTAGAGAAAGCGTTTAGCAATCCCTTAACAACGCATCGTTAAGTGGGCCAAGTACTTTGCCGGTGGAATGGATGACTATGTCGGGAAATTGCGACACGACGCGATAACATATCGAAGAAACGGCAAATGCGTGACAAATCTCATCCAAATGCATCGATAAAGTCACGAATTAATTAATTCCTATCGTAAAGCCGTCCGGAGTTGTCAGCTATCTATCGTGAATTGCGATTGTCGTGCGCGAAAGTGACGAATATACGTAAATATTTGTCGATCGGACAGCTGATGTACGAGACGGTGACTGGCCGTTCGAGGGGAAAAAGAATGAAAACCCGGTGCGACGATAACTTGGCAAATAAACGATGCGAATGTCCAATCGAGCAAACGGCAGGTACCGTAGGAATGTTGTTTCCGACCTTGTGGAATCGCACGAATGAACGGCCGAAGATGCAAAAGAAACGACCTCGAGTTAGCAAGTCGAGTAATTACCCACTGCATGGTAAACGAATAGCATCTGTAGATGAACAGGATCTGTCTCTCTCTCTCTCTCCTTCTTTCATGCGATCCCGTCAATTTTATTCCGGATATTCATCGCGATGCTTTTATTTTTTCAATACCTAATTAGCTCTTTTAGTATTCTTGAAAGACTGCACAATATGATATAATGTATCTTCGCTAAGTTAAAAAATTTTGCTTCATTTTAGTTCAATCCTACTGCAAAAGGTATTTAAATTATTACCGCAAATAATAGAAGTAGATCGAACATAAGTGCTTGTTTCGAATTGGATAGAGACATATTCGTGCGCATTGTGTAATTTTGTGATCGTTGTATCGAAAGTCTCGATTTAGCCCATTTGTCTATTATATGAATAAGCGTTTCTAATGCATTTCTAACGTCAAGCGAATGTCAAGCGATTACGATGTTAATGCGGCGTAATGTCTCGTGGATAATATAACCAAGGTTGACCATTAAAATTGCGCTCGCATAACTCAACTCGCTACGACTGCCCAATTATTCGAGCGGATTTTGCTATCGCGATTGATTTTCACTTTATCTATCGGACAATCATAAAAAATCATATTTATAGTTCGTTATTTACGATCCTGTTTTAACGGAGAAAAATCGTCAAAGTAAAAGTCGTAAAAACAATAAAAATCGAAGTCTTAGTAGTGAGCTACAATAAGAAATCACCCGTGGAACCGGGCATACATTATCAGCCACGCGATATGTAACAGTCAATTTGCTATTCGAACAATGAATTAGCTTGTCCCCAAACTTTTTCTTTCTATCGGTGGAATAATCGTAATCTTGCTCGTTTGTCTAAATCGCCATTTCTATATTTTTAGAAGTTCTTACGCGAGAAAAAAGGATGTGCAGAAAAGAAAAGCGATAAGGTTTCCGATCTAAACGCGGTACGAAGGACAATTAATGGGCAATTAAGAGCGAGTGGACGCATATCTCGGCGAAACCCTGTCGGGCAATTGTCTTTGCGTATACGAATTTTGAAGCTCGTAACTTTTACAGTTAAATACGCGGCCGAGACACACGATGCGGCACGCGCGCGCGCACACATGAAAATCTCGCATGAACATTGTCCTTCTCGCCCTGGAAGAGACTTGGTCGCTGCGGTCCAGGCGGCGTTTAAGCGAATGCGTGTACAGATGAACACGCAGGCAGCGCGCGCGCGCTAGTTGCATGTGCAAATGTTGCATAGTTGCGAATGCAACGAGCGCGAGTGCGGCGGGCCTCGGAAGGCGAATAACGGGTGCAGCGTTCAGGGCCTCTTTCGCGTGTCTCTCTTTCTTAGCCGCTCTATACAATCACTTCACTCTCATATTTATAATATATTCATAATTATCATGCGCGAGGCCGGAGATTGATTTTGCAACGGCGACGACATAATCCCGCTCGATAATACGACCGATCAGCATTAGCAGCCTTGATACCGAGAGGGTGCTATCGCAAACGCGCCCGCGGTAATTCTATCACGAATTCGCTCTAACGTTATTCTGTAAGCGGAGTTTAAGCGGCCGCGCGCGGACGGATGCTTCTAGAGCAAGGTGATTGACTTGAGAAAAACAACCCATAATCGTGCGCGATCATCAGTCACTATATCGGGATCCAAGTCCGATCAAGTCAGAATGTTCGCAACAAAAAAAAACGATACGACCGGTTTTATCATGGTTGACGAGGCAGCAAGAAATGTTCGGCATGTTAATTAATTAAGTAATCGCAATTAGATGGCGAAGCTACCTAGCCAGCTTAATTTAGCTTGAATTATTAAGATTGGCCGAATACCCGGAATGACGCGAAATAGTATCCGCATTAGCGATCGTGGTAGGAAATTTACTCAAGGTCGGTTTACTTTTCACCCCGCGTGCGCCGCTGCTCACGCGATAACTATCGATCGCGCATAACCGATTCTAGATTCGATCTGGTCCAGTATCTAGATCCGGCGTGTGCGCACGCACAAGTTCCGTTCGAATGAGTCAGACTCGTCGTGATCGTCAAACAAATAAAAATCGAAGCTAATACACGCGTAATTCAAAGCGAGCAAGTGCAACTGCATCGGCATCGAGAATGTTAAATGTGCACATTGCGTAGCTACTTGCGTTTACTTCCGAGATCTGCCGTTTAAAGCGCAACGGAGGGACACTACTCGCCGGAATTGAAATCGCCGCACACTCCGGCAGATGATTCCTTTCAGAGGACAGAATGTAACCGAACGATTTGGATTATTGAAAGGATTTCTATAATTTTTGAAAATACATAATACCGGTCATAGACATGTATCTACTATCTGGAATTATCCCCTTAACTTTTCGTTCAATGCAATTGTGAATTTCACTGATTAGTGAGTTGCGTCTTTCTACGTCCATTAGCGATCCCGACAGAATATTCGGAGAAAGCGTAAGATGACCAAGTCGTCACACCGAAGTGACGTGTCCTCGTGTTTATACAGACAGATGCAAATAACGAATCATACAGCGCGCTTAGAGGCAGTCCGGGTGTCGTCTTGAAAAGAAAGCACGGGGACCAAATCCAAATCGCGTTTAGGTATTGGTCTTAAAAAAGAATTGTTACATCGTTAGCGGAAATATTAATTTCTTGCTCGGTAACGGTACCTGATGCACACAACATCGCGTTGAATTATGCATGAATGAGGAATGCAATATTCCGGGAAAAGTCGACGAGTCTGCGGTTAGCATTTGAACCCGCAGACGTCAGCAATCTATTCGCGTTAGTATTTCTGCGTCGATAAATCTCGACCGTTCGGGAAAGTCACAGTGGGAGACGAAAAGATCGTACTGACGATTACGATGTGTGTTTAGCGCGGTTGTTAAAGAGATATAAGGTACGATATCACGTGAGAAATGAGACATAGACCTTGCCGGTTCTTACGCCGTTGTGAAATTTCGCATCGTCGTAACGGCACGCGTATCGAGGAAAAAAAAGCGAATAACCTCGTAAACGCGTCGATTATAAGTTGTCACACGACTTATTGGACGCGAATAGAAACGGAATTGGCCTTGCTATCGTAATCCACGAATGCGTTATACACGCGACGGGAAGACGAAAGAAAAACGTGGCAACCTCGAAAAAGTATCGATTAAAATCCGTTAGTGTGCGATACCGGAGAAAAAACATACAGTTACGTGAGAAAAGATGAGTTCGCGCGAGCTGTAATTTGCAAAATAGACGCAGGCGGATACGCGTGCAGTACGTAAAAAATACTGTTACATGCCGATTCCAGTTAATATTACGTACGAGAATGACTACGTAAAGACAATCGATAATTACAAATCTCACGTAAAATCGTTTACAATTATTTATTTCTAGCTTGTTATTATACTAACCGCCACGCAACATGTGCAAATGCAATTTTATGCATCAAGTAGAAGTGCAAACATTCGCGAGAGAAAGGGGGTGATGCGAAGGTAATTTTACGATTTGCGTAACGCAGTTTGACAAGAAGGAAGGACGCTGTTTGTCTCTACGGGTTTCAGATAGCTGAAAAGTAAATTCGCGCACTGCGCGTCGACAGAATCCGCGGGTTTCTCCCAACCGCCGCGACGCATCTTCCTATGATCGAAAACAGCTGACTCGTCAGCTACTACTTCCTCGTAATCTCGTTGGACTCACGCTTCTTCAGCAAAGTTGAATTTTTCGCGCCTGCTTAAATGCTAATAGATGTTGCATCAGCTGCTTTTCTCGAACCGATTCTCAAATCTATGCAAATTTATGCGCACGAGGCGAACCGGGCATTGAACGGATTATTCCTTCGTACGTTTTCTGATTTTAACCGAAACAAAAAGAAAGAAATGCTCTTCTGAAACGACAGATTAATTCACAACGGTCGAATAATCATCGAGACTCTTCCTCTCAATCGTCAATCGTTTTGCATAACTCAATTGAAATGTCTGTATGCAAATATTGTTTAAGGAATTTCTTACTGTTTTGATGCGTGTGAATTGGCTAGATTCTACGACTAATTCGAAAATGTCAAGATGCTCCGGACCGGTTTTAGGTTAATGGAGTGAGGATACGCACGTGAAAAATTCGGTAATTAAACCCATACAAAATGTGACCTCGACAATTAAATATTCATTAATATTACGGCAAGGTTAATAACATTGCGTAAACAGGATAATCACGCAGCGCATTTACTTTCTCTGCGCGAGGACTCTTCTCCGTTTCGCCGGGCCTACGTGAGAATTTCACTTGCGTTGGTCTCCGGTTATTAAGATTGAGAAAGAGCGGGACCGACACATGCACCTTTAGCCGATTTTCTGACGCAATTTTTTCACCCATTTCGACATGTACCGTTAGCCAGAAAAATCTATAGAATCTGACTACAAAAGCAAACACGCGCTATGTACAGAAATCGTATAATTAAGTCAGAGCGCATGGCCGTATCAGCCGTGAGACACCTGCGGTCTCTATAATGAATATAAAGTGCATTTCGTATAATTCAATAAGTAATGTACCGTTGCATATACAACAAGATCAAGTTTTGCAACGACGCTTGTCGAAATATAAGAATTCTCGTGTTAAGAAACGAGAATGACATTTTCACCTGTTCCTCAGACACATTCGTATGTGTAACGGTGATTTAAACGAACGGTTGAATTCGCGCGCTTAACCAAGGTCTTTTTGATCGAACCTGTTGCTCTTGACATATACATGAATAGAACAATGGAAGCATTTTGACAATTGCAAGTAGGAAAATTTTTCACGCATGACTTGCGAATGACAAGTTTATCAATCACATTTCCTTCGCGAAACATGAATAGACAAAAAATAAAGGAGTATTTTCTATCAAAATAGTTTTTAAGTGATACTTAATATTTTGCAAAAAATATCTTTCATTTTACATTTGTTTACAAATTATATTTATTTAAAAACTTATTTATTAACTCACGCTTCCAACATTCTCTTCTATTCTCTCTCATATTCCCTTTTTTTACATTGCTTTTGAACAACTTCTGCATTGTTTCTAATTTCAAGTCTAGTTATTTGTTAAATTATTAGTGAGAAGTAAGACTTACCTCAATACTGTAAGACTTCTTGATGGCGAACATTTCGCGGTTCTTCTGGGCGGCTGCGACTGCCATCATATCTTGTTTGTCACTCCTCTTTCTCTGATAACGGTGAAATTAGGTGGTTCTTCTTAACTCGACGGTGGATCGACTTGGGCGTCTTTCTCTCGTCGATTCTGGGCCTGATAGTGCTCACTGGACAATGCAGTAGAATAGGCGATAGGCGCGTGAGCTCTTCACTGCCGCTTGCGAGAAATTACACGAATGGACTCTCCGTTGCGCGCTTTTCGACTTTAATATCCCGATGTGCTCCGGCTACGTCCTCTTCGGCCTCGATCCGTCCGGTCTGCTACGGTTCGACTACGACAAACGACGAGGACGTCGGCGACGACAACGAGCCTCTACTACTTAAGTCCGCTTTGGACGGAGCGTACGAGCGAATGCGTCTACGGGGCGGATTGCCGCCGCATATAAACGTTGCCTCCCTTCACCGCCTGCTAATGCCGGGGTCAGGGGTGCCCCCACCCTTTCGTCGTTTCGGGTGGTCCACCAGCAGCAGCCGCCGCTACCACCACCGCCGTCGCCGTTACGGCCGTCGCTACCGTCACAGCGCCGCCGGCGCTGTTGCCATTGACGAAGACCACGACCATCGTGAGGGAATCCCTCACTTAGCTGTTGATATTTTCGTATCTCGTGTCTGGAGATTCCCAACACTACTGCGCATCTGTCATTGAATGTGATAACGAAAATGTTTTGTTATCATATCCAGAACGATAATACGAAGTACGTGAAATAGGTTGTGGTATAATTTATTATCTTCCATGCAGATAAATTGATCCTCCTCTGACTCTAAAAATCTTAATACGTGGTATAATCGATTAGTGTATGGTGTTGAATCTGCTATATGATATATGCGGTATAAATGTTTTACAGAGCAATGCACTGTCTAAGAATTGCAACAAAGATATATAAATGCATAAATATATTTTTATGTTAGGATCAATTACATTTTTAATCAATAACAATTACTGACCAAATAATTTCACAAAAGCTTGAGCAATAGGTTTTCTAACACTAAAAATATGTCACTGTGAAATATCCTCCGTGAAAAATATGCCTTCTAAGATCGATATCGGAACAAATTTGAATAGGACACGCGAATGGGGCGAATGATCAAGTTACCAATATCGTTCTCTGGATTCGGTGTATTTATAACTTACGTTTAAAATAGGACCATTTATCTCGACGAATTGGTTTCGATTATTTCTGCAGAGAGCATATTCAGAAATATGATATCAATTACTATCGTGCAGAATTGTAGAATTATATAAAAACTTATAATTATGCATATATAAAGTTAATATTAGAGATATCTCCATAATTATTTGCTCGTGTAAAAATAATTTGCAATTTCTCTGTTCGCGAACGAATGCTACTATCAGAATATTAAGTTTACAGCGTTTGCGATATAGGGAATTTGTTGCGTAATTTTTTGCAGCAAAAAGAAGAGTCCACGCATAGTCCTACTTATTGCGTTGCTGTTTAGTAAGCGCTATCGAAATGTTATGATCTATTATTTAATTTTACTAATAGTCATGCATTCGTCGAAGCTATCTGTCTATTCTTGGTACATCTGTCTATTCTTGATACGTCTATTCTTGATACATCCTATAGTGTATAGAAGATTAGATCGATAGAAGTAGGAATTAAAAGGAATAAAACATTTTCAATATCAGAAGAAGATAAAGATGCAGAGTGAATATTGAACGAGTGTATTTCTCAAACAGAAACCAACTCTATCGTAGAAACATACATGTTTCTAAAATTTACTTGTAGGCAAAATTTAAAAACCGATGAAATTTTATCTCACAAATCTTTGCTTTTGATTTGTAGAAGTAAATTTTAGCTAAGTTTTCATTCAGTTATATCGTAAACGCTTAACCAGATAAATTAAACAGCCAGTTCTTTTTTACCTTTCGTTGAAAAACGATACCATAGGTAATTTACCACTTGACGTCGCTTTTCCTCTAGGTTTGCGTAAACCGTACATTAAAGGTTAAACTGCGATCGGTTTTGCGTCCGCATCGTCGGAACTAGCTTCTCGCGAATGTAACGTGCGCGCGATCACGTACGATCCTCACGCACCGATCTAGCCGTTCGATCGTCACTTCTGTGCGTCAACGCATTCACGTGCGTACGTACGTACGCACGAGGCGAACGATCGCGCGTGCAATCGAGTAATCGGAGAAAGATCTTACGAGAGAAAATGCATGCGTTAGCTTTTTTACGGCTTTCTAAAGACACACGCAAACGGTCCGGCCTCTGCCGTGCATTCGCCGACAATGGTGCATTCGGTAGGTGTGTCAGCATTATTATAATGAATATTTAACAGCGGCGGCACGATCGCCAATATCGTTAAGAACCTGCTCCTCGTGATATACATAATGACACGATGTATACACGAGCGTGTACAGAAATAGAAAAATATTTGAATTTGCATGCGCAGCGTTGTGCAACGGAGGCTGGACGGAGATCCAGAGACTTCGGAAATTCGATTATTCTTGATTAATGATCGCGCGAGATCATTCTGATATGATAACATTCCTAGAAAAACTTGCCGATTGAAAACGAAGATCGATGAGAGGGAAAACGCGAAAATGTTATTTAAATCAATGCTCGTAGAAACACGTGTCCAGCTGTCTGACGCACGTAATTAATTAATTCAAATAGCAACGATCGATCGCCGGGAAGATTTGAGAATAATACAATACGAGAACACTGTGAAAACAATCCTTTGACGTAGACAGATGAATTTTGTGGAATTAACGCGGAAGAGACGACGGTTAATGTACGGGTTTGCATGACATTAGTCCATGTTGATATTCAGTTTTTTTTCCGATCGTTAATACTGATTTTAATATCGGGTTTTTTTTTTATGTTTCGGAAGCGGCGCATAATATTTTGACCGACAGACGACCGTTTCGTCATGGTTCGTTAATTAATCGGTGCATTGGTGAAATTTTTCTCGGTCGTCATTCAGGTGTGGCAGCAACGCATCGTCGACGTCACGAGTCGCGTCGCTTGGAGGCACGAATAGCCGGGAACTCCCGAGTGGTCGAGTTGAATTCTACCGATCTCCTTAGCGGCCAATCCGGTTCCGAAGTGTGGATTCCCAGGCCGGGAGTTTCCAAGAGTAATCTTTGCCAAGCAAAAGAACCGTACGGTAGAGGCGTCGGTGAATCATTTCGAGTAACGCGATAATGCAACCTGTGGACACATTATTGCTTTCACTCTAAATCGTTAACGCTTTGCCTTTACGATATCGGGGGAAGTACATGTGGACTTTATCCAAACAAATAAGTTGAACAGCTGTGCTATTAGTCTTATTGTTAGATAAGTAGGTAAACATGTTTATTTCATTTTATGTATTAACTTCGTTTTAGAAACAGTAAACATATTTAGATCTACTTACAGTATCGACCTTATAATGTTTAGGAAAAAATTTATATGTATAAATTGATATATACATATATATATTGAAAAAATACAATTTACTAAAACTAAAAGTAATTACGATCTTAAAAAATTATTTTAGGGGAAGGACACAAATGTGTGTGAATTTCGTGATTTCATAAACTTTAATTTAACGTTTTACTTAAGCTGGTTTATCCCCATTTATTCATCATGATTATGCAACTAGATATTTGCATATTGTCTATCGCTTTTCTTGAATAAAAATACCTCAGAATTTATCCTCCTCATATTGAGACTAATCAATAATGTCTGTGCGTATATCTCTCTCATTAATTGATAGCCCATATCGATTGCTTAGTGACCCTTGGGAGTAAGACGATTAATCTGTTTATCATTGAGTAGCTATATAGTTGCATTTGCTTTTAGTAGAATAATTACACGATGCACTATCGAAATAATAATTGAAGGGAATAATAATTAATTATAACATTAATACAATGATTCAAAATAGAAGAAAGTTGGAATCTAAAAGTTTGAATACTTCGATCTCGCTTTATCGATTACCTACAGAAATTTGATTAATGAACTCGTGTCGAAAATGATTAAACTAGGTAACTCGATCGATGCGGATAAATCACTACTAGCCTTTGACCGGCGAGTTAAATTATTGTTACACGGGACAAACTTTAAGGACAAAACAATCGGTTGTCTCTGGAATTATGTTTCGTTTCGTGAGATCCTTGCGACGGAGGCCACTCGGCTATTTGCGATCCTAAAATCTAATGTATATTTTAACACAATATTTTTATTAAATTTTATTATATTTTTATGGATAATAAGATATATCTATTTTTTTCACGGGGAATATAATTTTCTTATTCCGCAGAAAAAAAAACGGAAATATAAAATGCGCTCAGATTATACGGAAATATATAAATGTGATCGTATCTTAACTTGTCCGATTTGTGATCGGATACATGCATACGTATATTCACATGTATATGGACTGTACATATGTTTGTCACCGTTATACCAAATGAGACGCGATCTTACTTTCATGTATCAAGGTCGCTCCGCATGTTCAGAGACGGAGTGGCACTTGTTCTACATCAAGACTTACGTGATTGAGATCCAGACCGTAATTAGATATTTCATAAGTTCTGAGCTAACAAACAATTAGTGCGAGGGAAGCGTTCGAAAAGGCTAAAAAACGACCAACCCACGTGCATTAATACATAGAAATATATCAGTTATCGTATTGATAATTTTGTATCTCTTGAATTGGGAGAAAATTGGATAGTTAATAAATGCAAAGGCGTGTATTGTTTTACTACTTTTATACCGTTATACGACTTATATAACTCATTAGACTTGATAGTGCATTATGCAAAAATTATGTCATATAACAAATTTAACATATATTAATAGAATGTACATGTAATTTAACTTTCGTGTTTTTCGAAACCGGTATATTGAAAACTGGATTCGTTGATTTGAATCATCTAATTACAGCACTAATTTACATATTTGCGAGTAATATCGCATTTATATAGTAATCAAAGTGTTTTACATGTATCGAACAGAACTTTTTATGATGACTTTTTATCATAACAGAAGCGCATTAATTACTAATCTTATATTATGCATTTTAAATTATTCGCACGTTGTATTTCTAGAACGCGCGACGAAAATATGCTACTGAATGCTGAACTGAATGTTGCTTGTGTTAAATAAAGGTATGCTTGGCTCGCGCGAATAAGAACTTTTTTTATTGGCGCGTTCCAAGTGTTTAATTAATTACTTTTATTAACGGGATAAATATTGGTTTTATAAACTCAGACCGACACAAGATTTCAACATCGGGTTTGCAATAGATATGTGTGATCGCGTGAGTATAATTTATCGCATAAACGTATCAAAAATATAATCGCTTAAGAGAGGTTTGTATTATGCGCAACACCAATATGTCATGCGTTAGCAAAGATATAC